TTTTGTAGGCATTAAACTGCCAGAATTTTAAAAGACGATATCTCCGTTTGCATTGAACTTTCAGCTTCGTAACTTTGCAGATGTTGTTTATGCTCAAACAGCAACATTACACACTAACTAACGTTAAAAAAGTGAAATCGCAATGAACCACCCCTTTAAAGTACAACTGTAAAAGTACAATACTCATATTTATGGCTTTTTTAATTTCTTCATTTTTAATCTTGAAACTATCAAGCTTTTATTCTGTTGGAAACCACAGGGAGCTATTTTGTTAAGCTCTTTTGTTGACAGCAGCCAGTTTGTAAGCACTTTTCTTTACTAGTTTGGGAAGATAGTTGGCGTAAATGCACTTTATAAGTGACCTGAACTCACAGCACATCCTGAGATGAGTTAAATTAAGAGATGAGTTTGTATGGAGAAGCAAATACTGTGAACTGAGCCACTCTGAGCCACTGAGAACACAGGATCATGAGCTGCTCATGTGTAAAAGAATTAAGTGCCACTCTGAAACACACAATTTCAGTCTGTGATTTTTGCATGTGCAAGCACCACAGTGTTTTTCAGAAAATATCACACTCATTTATGTACTTTACCTAAAGCCCTCTGTTTCTGAATTTTGGCTTCTTTAGGTATGGATTCAGGATCGGTTACTTTTGGCCTCATCTACAGAATATGGGACCAATCTGCAGAGTGCCCAACATTTAATCATGAACCATAAGGTGAGAGTCACAAACCTGTTGATAGAAAAACTATTGTATCCTTTTCTAAACTCTGATATAGGATTCTAGTACATTCTCAGGCAGGCAGTGGTGTTTCTGTGGTAAAGAATAAAAAAAAATCAGTGGGATATGCTTCCTTTTTACAGTTAGTCACATTAAATTAATGTGTTAAATTAACAGCTTTAGTTTTAATGCTAAAGTCATTATGAATGGCATAGCATGCACACAAAATTTCTATCACCTTAGTCAGGTTTTCATATGTCCACCTACCCACATTTTTTGGGAGAAAGTGTCCATCTAATCAATTTGAAAGGTTAGCATTGATCACATGACTTTGCACTGAGACGATGAAGGTTTTGTATTGTTTTGGGACTCCAGATGCATCAAAGATATAATATAACTCATCTGATGTAACTTCTACATTGTATGTTCTTGTATGTTATTTGTACATTCATAAAATGATGTAAGAGGATATTTCCTGCCAACATCTGTCAACTATAAGACTATAAAAGACAGAGGGAGCAGAGCAAATGAGAGGTCTGGGAATTGATGTATCTCAGTGCTTTATTATAGGTCAAGAGCCAAATATGATACAAATGCCTTTTGGAGTCTGTCATTCAATTCATTCAGCCTGTTTTTTAATCATTCTTGGTGTAAACCTGAATGTTTATATTTTATGTTTTCTATTTTAATTTTAGTTTAAGTTTTAGTACTTTTGTGTTTTTGTCATTTTTTTTAATATGTCTATATAGTTTTTGTTTTGATGTATAGTTGGTTTTAGTTTTTATACTGTTTTAAAGGGGACATTGGATGCAAAATTCACTTTTACATGGTGTTTGCATATAATGTGTCTTAGCAGTGTGTGGACACAACTAATGATACAATGATAATAATCCATTCACTACTCATTAGCATTTAAAGAGACGTGCACCAATAGAGCTGTTAATGACAAGATAAAAAGGGTGTTGTTTTACACGACCACTGAGGAATTTTAACCAAAGGATGTTACAGACATTTCATGAAGACCCTAAAGAATCATACCAACTTGTGGAAAATGGTCATCCGACATCCCCTTTAAGAAAGTGTAAAAAGCCAACTATTAATTCATTATTAATTACCTGTCGTTGTTTGATATTCCATTAGTCTTATTGTAGATTTCTGGATACAACTGAGGTTTAAGCCTGAGGATATTTAATTTAGCTGCCCTGTGTTTGATAGCCTGGTTCTCATGGCTTCTGATTCCAGTGATGTATTTTGATTGACCAGAGAGCTTTGACTGACAGCTCACTTGTGTGTATGATTGGACATGCAGGCGCTGCAGATGGAGATACAGGCTCAGAGGGGGCGGGTCGAGGAGGTGCTGGAAAGGGCGGAGGCCGTTGCTGCCCTGCGGACCCCAGAGGTGGAGCTTGTGCGGGAGGGGGCGTGGCATGTGAGGCAGCTGTGGGAGGTGCTTCAGGTAGAGATGGAACGTCGCACAGTGATGCTAGATGCCGTGAACCACGCCCAACAGTACTACACCCAGGCAGCGAAGGCGGAATCTTGGCTCAGTGGACAGAAACTTCAGGTCCTCAATGAGGAGAAAGGAAATGTATGTACTGTACCAAAAACTCAATCCATCTATAACTTAAATGACACCATTTATTTATACAACAATACTCAGGAATGTTGGGTTAATGTATTACAGTATGTTAATACACTGACGTCTTTACGTGTGTTTATTAAAAGTCTTCTTAATAGAGATTATAGTAGGGTTGTAAACTGTGGTCAATAAGATGTGGTCTGCTTGCCTTTCACTTTGTAAACCAAGATTTATTCTTTCACTCTCTCTCCTCTTTGTCTGTAGGACGAGGCCAGCACTCTTAGGTTACTAAAAGAGCAGTTGGCCTTAGAGCAAACAGTGGAGAATTATGCAGAGACAGTGAGCTCACTGTCCCAGCAGTGTCGTCGCATGCTTGAGCTGGGACATCCAGACAGGTAAATAAAGATGTGTGACTAACACTGCATCCAAATCAGGCACTCCGCAAAAAACCCTAAATGATTTCTGAAGAATCATGTGACACAGAGGACAGGAGTATTGGCTTCTGAAAATTCAGCTTTCCACAGGAATTAATTACATTTTAAAATAGAAAATAGTTATTTTAAATTGTGGTAACATTTCACAATGCCACTGTTTTTACTGTGTTTTTGATCAAATAAATGCACCCTTAGTGGGCATAAGTGACATCTTTAAAAAATCTGACCCCAAAATTTGGGTATTTGATGTAACGGAGTGTAACCAGAATTAGTTTATCTGCTGTCTGTCTCTTTCTTTCTCTTGCTCCTTTCTTTCCCTCAGTGAGCAAATTACCAAACAGCAGGCTCATATAGACCGGCTATATGTATCTCTAAAAGACCTGGTGGAACAGAGGAAAACAAAGCTGGAGCAGCAATACTGGTTGTATCAGCTGAAGCGAGAGGTGGAGGCACTGGAGAAATGGATCTCTGAGAGGGAGGCTGTCGCCAGCTCCACTGAACTCGGCCAGGACCTGGAGCACGTCACGGTATCACCGTCTCACACTCACACACACACACACTGTAAAGTGTGTCTAACTCAGGATGCAGTATACCGACATCAATGCAGTACCCTGTGTACTTTATTAATCACCCTTTTCATTACATTGACATGCATAATTTCTAAAGTCTTCTAAACTGTCGATACCACATTTAATGCGTCAAATGGATAAAACCAAGTCCCGTGCTATTGTTTTGCCATGTTGAACCTTCTGTTTTACTAAATGCTTCTGTGAACTCATCTGACATGTTGTTTTTGTGCTGTTTAATTTTCCTAGGCTCTGCAGAGCAGCTTTACTCAATTCTCGACTGAGACACGTGCAGTCGGCCAGAAGCAGATGGATTCAGTCAATAAGATGGTGAATGAGATGATTGACTGCAGTCACTCTGATGCTGCCACCATTGCAGAATGGAAAGATGGGCTGAATGAGTCCTGGGCGGATCTTCTAGAGCTCATGGAGACCAGATCGCAGATGCTTGCAGCCTCGTACCAGCTACACAAGTTCTTCACCGACTGTCAGGAGGTATACAAACACACATACAGCCATAAAACATGTATTTTAACACATTCACAGTTGATTGCAATATGAGGAATCATCAATGTGGCTGTGTTTGTGTTTTGTAGGTGCTGGTCCAGATCGAGGGAAAGATGAGACAACTACCAGAGGTGAGGTCATGTCAGGTGAGCTCAGCCAACCCTGGCACACTGCAGAGACTCCTGCACTCTTTTGAGCACTCCCTGCAGCTGCTGGTATCACAGGTAAGACTGACACTAACACACACACACGCACACACACAAAAAAACAAAAAACACAACAACACCTGTTCTGCCCAGGTGGAGCAGCCACGATAAATAAGTGCTTAGGCTGGTTCATCCTCCTGACCCAGCAAGGGGTGGTTCCCATTTCAGTTCAGGATCACAATAACACTCAGAAACACAGTTACAACCATCACACAGTGCCGAATACTATGGAAGCTTGTTTCTGCCATGGAATAAAAAAATAAAAAAGGTAAATTGCTTACTTTTTATCTCACAATTCAGACTTTTTTCTTGTAATTGCAAGTTTACATCTCGCAATTATGAATTTTTTTCTTCAGAATTCTAAGTTTACATCTCGCAAGTCTTTTTTCCCCCCTCTAAATTCTGAGTTTATGTCTGGCAATTTGAACTTTTTTTCTGAATTCTTCTGAAATGTTGCATTTCTGTTTTTTTTTTTTTTTCTGCCACGGGATAAAATAATAAAAAAACATAATCATTACTTTTTATCTTGCAATTCTGACTCCTTTTCTCGCAATTGTCAGTTTATGCATCAGTGTGGAAAGGACTGAAAGACATCACCAACTACAAGACACCATCCCCCAGCACTGTGGAGAATCAACAACTGGTCAACGATTTGAATGAGTTTTATTGCAGGTTTGAAAAACCCTGTCTCACACCCCACACCCATTCTGACCTTCTCTCCATGGATCTATTAACACCTCCAGCAACCCCCCTCTCCCCCTTCCTGCACTTCAGGTCTATGAAAGGGATGTGTGTCAGGTCTTCCGGAAACAGAAGAGAAAAACAGCACCTGGCCCAGACTGTGTTACACCAGTCTGTCTAAAAACCTGTGCTGACCGGCTGGCCCCCATCTTCACACAGATCTTCAACAGATCACTGGAGCTGTGCGAAGTCTCTTCCTGCTTAAAACGCTCCACCATCATCCCCATCCCAAAGAAACCCAAAATTACAGGACTAAATGACTACAGACCTGTGGCTTTAACGTCTGTGGTCATGAAGTCATTTGAAAGACTGGTGCTGGCCCACCTGAAGGACATCACTGGACCCTTGCTGGACCCCCTGCAGTTTGCTTACCGAGCAAACAGGTCTGTAGCTGATGCAGTCAACATGGGACTGCATTTTATCTTACAACATCTGGACAGACCAGGGACTTATGTGAGGATCCTGTTTTTGGACTTCAGCTCGACCTTAAACACTATCATCCTAAACCTCCTCCTGTCCAAATTAACTCAGCTCTCTGTACCCACCTCCATCTGCCATTGGATCACCAGCTTCCTGACAGACAGGCAGCATCCAATAAGGCTGGGAAAATTCTCATCCAGCACCCACACCATCAGCACTGGCTGGCCCCAGGGATGTGTTCTCTCCCCACTGCTCTTCTCCTTGTACACCAACGACTGCACCTCTAAAGACCCCTCTGTCAAGCTCCTGAAGTTTGCAGATGACACCACACTTATCGGCCTCATCCAGGACTGAGATGAGTCTGCTTACAGAAAGGAGGTTAAAGAGTTGGCTGTCTGGTGCGGTTATAATAACCTGGAGCTGAACACACTCAAAACAGTGGAGATGATAGTGGACTTTAGGAGGAACCCTCCTGCACTCCCCCCACTCACCATCATGGACAGCACTGTAACAACAGTGGAGTCATTCAAGTCCTGGGCACCACCATCTCTCAGTACCTGAAGTGGAAGTTCCACATAGACTCCATTGTCAAGAAGGCCCAGCAGAGGCTGTACTTCCTTTGCCAGCTGAGGAAGTTCAACCTGCCACAGGAGCTGCTGATACAGTTCTACTCTGCAGTCACTGAATCCGTCCTCTGCACTTCTATAACTGTCTGGTTCAGCTCAGCTATCAAATCAGACCTTAGAAGATTGCTGCGGATAGTCCGGACTGCTGAGCGAATCACTAGTACAACCTACCCTACTCTCCAAGAACTGTACTCATCCAGAGTGAGTAAAAGAGCTGGCAAAATCATTTTGGACCCTTATACCCAGCCCACTTCCTCTTTGAACTGTTGCTGTCTGGTCGGCGCTACAGAGCACTGAGCACCAAGACGGCCAGGCATAAGAATTCCCTCAGGCAATCCATCTCATGAAGAGTTAACTTGGCAATAAACATGTAATAGACAACACTACTTATACATTTATTTATTTATTTATTTATTTAACACACATATCTCTTTTTACATTTCCTTGCATTTGTACATAACACACCTGTACACACAAATCTATTGTAAATATATCTAAACCATCTGTCTACTTTGTATATTGTGTATTTTTAAAAATATTTTTTGAATATTGTTATTTCCTATTTACTTATCCTATTTTTATTCTTTTTATTATCAGTGTCTTGTCACTGTCATTCTGTTTGCGCTGTGGAAGCTTCTGTCACCAAAACAAATTCCTTGTATGTGTAAACATACCTGGCAATAAAGCTCTTTCTGATTCTGATTCTGACAATTCACACTTTTCTTCTTCAATTGTGAGTTTATATCTCACAATTCTTAGTTTATATCTTACAATTCTGAGTGTATTAGAATTGCAAGAGGAAGATTTGTGAGATAAAAAGTCGCAATTACCTTTTTTATTTTTCTGTCCCATGGCTGAAACAAGCTTCTATAAAATACCAACCAGAATGAGTTAAGAGATAAACAAGTAGCTGTTAATTAAATTAAATTTAAATAGGCTAATTTGAAGTAGTTTTAATAGTTTTATTAAACGTATTAATAAAAAAGCATTTGGTATATAACAAATAACCTTGTATGTGACAATATTTTTAGATACCCCCAAGTGTCAGTAAATAGAGACAAGGAATTTTACCATTGCTTTTACCTTTACTTCAGGTGCGCCAACTACAAGAAAACGCAGCTCAGCTGCGTGCGATTTATGCCGGGGAGAAGGCAGATGCCATTTTTTCCCGTGAGCAGGAAGTGATGCAGGCCTGGAAAGAGCTCCTTGTTGCATGTGAGGGCAGCCGTGTACAGGTTACCACAGTAACCGATAAGATCCAGTTCTTCGCTGTGGTGCGGGAATTGAGCATGTGGATGGATGGAATAATGGGACAGATTGGCTCAACTGACGATGCCAGGTACCAGATCAATTATAGAACCATCTGAACTATCCTGAATATACAATTGGATTTAAACCAATTACAGTAGACAATGTGCATCAGGGTAATGTGTGTGCGTGTTTCTTGTTTGTGTCTGGGCGTGGGTTTTGGTGTCGGGCGGGTCCTTGTGTACGTGTCAGGGACCTCTCTGTGCTGGAGGGCATGATGTCCCAACATCAGAATCTGAAGAGTAAGATAGATAACAAGAGCAAGAACTTTGTGCATTGCGTGGAGATGGGAAAGATGCTGCTCGCTGCACGCAACCCTGCAGCTGAAGAGGTACACACATACTCAAACGCTGAACCCTCTATGTGCACACCTTTAAATGTGCAAACATATACATGGAGCTAAAGTTAACCTGGTAAAATTAACTCAAACCTGGATTTGTCAACATTTATAATGCAAACTGCATCAAATCTTAATAAAGGCATTTTCCAAAAACACAAATGACCAGGCTCATGTCTTTTGCCTTTATATGGATTATGGGTTTATGTGAGCTTAATGTTAATGTTACAGAGGCTGATTTTTATTAAAACATTTGACACACAATACCAGTCAAAGGTTTGGGGTTTGTAAGATTTTTTTAAAAAGAAGCCTGTCATGCTCACCAAGGGTTTGATCAAATATACAAAAGAATTTTATATTGTGGAATATTATTCAAAAAAATTATATTATTTATATTATTTAAAAAAAAAGATATTTAGATGTTTTTGTGGAAATCACGTCTTTTTTTCAGGATTCTTTGATGAACAGAAAGTTCTAAAGAACAGAATTTATTTGAAATAGAAATGTAGTGTAACATTGTAAATGTCTTTACGTTCAATATGTGTCCTTATTAAATAAAAGTATTAATTTCTTTCCAAAATCAATAAATACTGACCCCAGACTTTTGAACAGTAGTGTAGAGGTATAAGGATTTAAATTTTGTTTCTCTTCCGTTCCGCACTTTTGCATTGCATGCACTTTTGTGTTTTGCATTGAACATGGATCATTTGCCGTCAGTGTTCTGCTCATAAATGATTACATACCCTCTGAACCAGGTAAAGGAAAAGCTGGAGTATATCATGGCAAAGCAGAAAGAACTGAATGAGCGATGGGAACAGCACTGGGAGAAGCTTCAGCAAGGTCAGTGATGACATTGTTGTAATGTCATGTTAAAAGTCTGCCAATCTGATCCTTCCTCAGAGTTATCTAAAAGCTTTATTTGTGCCCTTCAGCCCAGCAGAGGCTGCAGTCTACCCAGCTGGGATCGGTGGAGCAGTCCTGGCTCACAATCAAGGAACCAATCACTCCAAATACTCGTGAGGAAGGGGGTGGGACAGATGAGGTGGAGGAGCTGATTCGCCGACATGAAGCGTTCCGGAAGGCCGCGTCCACATGGAAGGATCATTTCAACTCATTACGACAGGTCATTATGGAATCAAAGATTTATGTATAAACAGAGTCAGCACCAGCACAACACTGAAGAGGGTCAGAAGTAACGAAAGGGGGGTGATGACATAACGCAGAATATCCCCAGCTATATGAAGTGGCCCATTCATGTATTTGTCAGTTATAAACAAACCTGTTGTTACTACAACTATGAAACTAAAAGCTACTGAACAACTCACAGTAGCAAAGCATTGAATAATATTAAATATTATTAATATTAAAAATAAAAATCGCCAAGGCCAACATATTCAAATATTTGACTTGATATCTGTTATATAAACATGTTTTAGACACCAGATATAAATGTCTTAGATACACAATTTCAGCAGTTTTACCATGAATACAGACAAGTTACCATGATACTACTACTACCAAATATAAATAATTGTGTCTACTTTACTATAAAACACACGTTCCCTGGGACCATTTCAGTAATGTAACACACTTATTGACCATAATGGTAAGTGAGAACAGCCAGAACTGCAAATGGTGACTATCAATAACAATATAGTAAAATAAACTAAATAGTTCACTGAACGTGATAAAACAATTGTAATCATACCATTAACATACTCAGTAAATCTGCATTCTTCATGGCTCGGGAATTTCAATGTAACATAGATTAATGAGATATATGTGCCAATCAAAATGTGATATTGTGAAAAAATTTGCTAAGCAGTAACCTAATATTAAAGGGGTCATATGATGCGCTTTCAATTTTTCCTTTCTCTTTGACTGGTCGCTGAGGAAATACATCAACTTATACATCAAATTATACAACAAATACATCAACGTGCTGTGGATCGCCAGATCGGCTTTCACCGTGGACGAAGCGGAGTCCAGCCCGGGGTCGTCACATGTGGTTGCCGCAAGCCCGCCGGCTGCTCCTTCGTCGAATCCGCCGGCTGCAGCTCACTCTAGCCCGCCGGCTGCAGCTCACTCTAGGTCGCCGTGTGTGACGCTGTGTGTTTCGTTGTGAAAGCGAAACTACTTTGTTTGGTCTTCCAAAAATGGACACGACTAGCTCTTTTTAGCAACATCATATGACTTAATGCTACAAAACAAATGCACCTGGCAATTGTAATTTATTTTCTGTTTCACCATTAAAATCCCTTTTCACATTCATTTTGACTGAGGGGGCAGGACAGTCTGGTTGACGTGGCACTGGCCCTGCATATAAATAACAGAAATCTGAGAACTAAAAGATCTTTGTGTAACTTTCTCTCTCTCCTCCATCTGCAGGCAGAGAAGATGAAGGAGGAACTGAACAAGCCACCTTCTACCTCCTCTCTCCTCAGCAGGCAGATGTTCCCTCTCTCTTGTCTTGTGCCCAGCTCCTCTTCTTCGTCTTCGTCCTCCTCTCTCTTCCGTAACCCACTTCAGGACTCACTACTGGAGTCCAAGCCCGGGCCGGACCTCATGTACGCCACAGAACACACAGTGGTGAACACACTCACTCAACGGCTCGGGTCCACCCTGAACCCCTACACGCCTGTCATGAATGGCTCCTCCTACCATGGGCTAAACCAGCCATCAGGGGTTGTGGCAGAGGGTCTTTCGTACCATGGGCTAAAACAACAGGGTGTTTCAGGGTTGGATAATTCCAGCTATCAAGGGTTAAACCAACAAGTTGGTGTCTTGGGTGTGAACAGCTCCAGCTACACTGGACTAAACCAACAGGGTGTTTTAGGAGAGGACAACTCCAGCTACCACAACCTGAACCATTTAGGTGCTGTGGGGGTAGGGGTTGAGCCCAAAATGGGATATGCTTGGCAGCACCTGAAAGCTGACTGCCTTCAGCCCAAAATCAACCACATTCACAAAGCTGTTCCACCTTTACTGGAGGCGCACCGAGCCCAGCTCGCTGGTGGAGGAGCAAACATGCCAGCTCCTCCTATGGGCCTGGACCCCTCCCTGGAGATGATCCACAGCCGTTTACAGAGAGACCCCCGCGGGAGCCGATCTGACCCGCAGATGGATCACTTGAGGCGAGAGAGAGAGTACCGGCTTGGCCGACAGACCTCCAGCGAGCAGGAGATCCAGGCACGACTTAACGAGCTCCCGCTGATTGTTAGGCAGGAACGCTACCGTCGAAGAATGGAGAGACAGTCGTCCAGTGAGCAGGAGGGCAGCGGTAGGCAGAGAGTTCAGAAACATGACTCCAGCGATGCAGAATCTGGGAAAGAGCCGTCTGACAAGAGACCATCCGGGTGAGTGCTTCTGTATATGTGTTTGCTTAGCTATATTTTGGGAACAAAACATCCTTTCTGAGATGCCTTAGAGGTAAAAAATAACTCATAAATTTGGTAAAGGAAATTTTTATTCTAAAAACCCAAAATGTTTGCATTTAGGGTTACATTTAGGGTTCGGGTAAGTGTTAAAGATCCCCACGTTTTGCGGTTGTTAATTTAAAACGATAAAATATAATTTTCATTCATTGAAATAATTAAAATAAAATAAAAATTTAAGATTAAAAATCTAAACCAAAATTAGAATAGTTGCCGTGGCAACTAACTGAAATAAAAAAGGTGAAGTGCTAAAATTACTAAAATTAAAACTGAAATAAAAATAAAGCTAAATAGACATATAAAAAATTAAAAGGCAAATTAAATTAAAACTGAAAATATAAAAGCAAAACCTAATTAAACATTAATAATAGTATAAAAATAATAATAAAGCAAAGTTTTGAGTGTAGAAAATATAAATAGCTCAATATAAAAACTGAAGTCAAAGTCCCTGCCATGATAAAACAACAAGTGTGTGTGTGTGTGTTCTTATCTGTATATGAGTATCTAACTTAGTTGGCTTTCTCATCTTTTTGTTTTTTAGGGAGAAGCGTTCCACTATGGCTGAGATTGTTGAGCAAGTGCAGGAGAGAGAAGCTTGCCATGTATGTGGCGTGTCTGTACTGGAATTTAATATTTGTCATAGATTTAATTCACATCATGCATCATATTCCCCCTCACTATTTTAATGCATCATCATCACAATTAGAAATACTCCACTGTTCAAAGGTTTGGGGTCGGTAGAATTGAACTCTTATGCTCACTAAGGCTATTTGATAAAAATACAGTAAAAACTGTAACATTGTGAAATATTATTACAATTTAAAAAAAAGAAAACATTTTTCTATTTAAATATATTTTCAGTAGCCATTAGTCTTCAGTGTCACATAATCCTTCAGAAATCCTTGTAATATGCTGATTTAGTGCTCAAGAAAGTTCAAAAGAACAGCATTTATTTGAAATATATATTTTTTGTACCAATGTAAGATCTTAACTGTTTCTTTTTTTAAATAAAGTTATTACTTTTCAAAAGAAAAAAGAATCGTAATGACCCCAAACTTTTAAGCAGTAGTGTATGTTCAGGTGATTCTCTTTTTCCAGAAAATCAGTCCACACACACGGCTGATTTAAAGGTTGAGGATTTTTCTACCATTTGTGCCATCCAAAGAGAAATAAGAGTAGTCTTACTGCAGGTACAGTGCCTCTGGAGTATCTTGGTTCGGTGTCTTGCTCAAGAGCACAATAGTGATAGAGCAGAATTGTGATCTCAGTAATTCTCCACTTTCTGGGTCACCTTGCATCCTCTGAAACTTGGGACTGCCCCCTAAACATTTTAGTCAGCAGCTCAGACTCTTAAGTATCTCTTTATGTTTTATTGTTCAGGTAAGATTGATCTTATGCAGACTTTGACTTTGCTGTATGCAGATATAAATGGAGGTGTGGTACAGTATTCATATATTTTTAATTACAGATGGAAGATACAGCACTTGAGAATGTGAGAATGTGAGGCACAACACACCTAATTTCCATATACACCCATTTAGTTTTTTTTTTATATAGTTCAGTTTTTTGTTTTCTTATAATAAAACAATTCTGCATCATACATTCACAAAGAATATTTTTCAGGCGAAGGGAGAGGCATACAGACCACCCAGCAGCCTCTCTGCACCAGTGAGCCGTCTGGATCGCCCTCGAGCTCGAGACCGCCCCAAACCACGACGAAGACCTCGTCCAAAAGAACCCGAGGAGCCACGGCGGTCCCGTTCTGCACCGGCTCAGAGCGTCCCATCCACACCTCACCCTCCTACCCACACCGTCCATCATGAGGGCTTCCTGTACAGGAAACATGAAGAGGAGGGGAAAGAGAGAAGCCCAAACAGGTGTGCTTCTTACTAGCTGCTAGTAACTGATTGCAATGTCCTGACATGATCTCTATTGACTTTTTTTCATGATTTTTTCCACTGATCACTATAATCTTATTATGAATAGTCTAAATGCTTTTCGTTGCTACTGCTAATACACTAGCAATCCTATTACCAAGCTAATAGCTAATTATGCTAATGCTATCCACAAATAATACTGTGTTCAGAATAGCATGCATTGCTAGATAGTATACAAACACATTATGCACAGCATAAATTACATAAGTTGTATATTACATTGTTGCTGCATGACTTACCCTGCCATTTTACAAGTTAGAGATTACATTCTGGTAATTGATGTACATCATGGAAAATAGCATGGTGAATAACTATTGAGTGAGTGCTAACTGAATTTGATGTATTTAGAGTGATCTGGACCATTACATACTGAATTTATACTACATCCAGTATAGAGTTGGGGTTGTATACGGCATACTGAGGTTCATCATTCAAATATAATAAGAATATTCAAGATTGTGGGAACTAATGAATCTGTCATTTAAAACCTACATTCTGATCAACCACTATTTTTAATATTGGAGGGGATTTGTCAGTGGTGGTCTTGGCCCAATAGTGTATTAGAAATGCTGTTCTTTGTGTATTTGTCTGCTAATAGAAATAATAAATGCCTTGGTGATGCCTAGTAACTCACAAAGTTATTCCTAACTTTCTACACCTCCTGCAGCAAGTCGTGGGTAAATCTGTTCTGTGTGCTCAAACAAGGGGAGATTGGTTTCTATAAGGACGCACGCCACAAAACCACACCCTACAATGATGAGCCACTTCTTAACTTGGCCATTTGCGAATTTGACACTACCAACGGATATAAAAAGAAGAAGAATGTGTTCATTCTCAGGTAAAATTAACTGTGATCTTTAATGACTACCGTACTGCCTGCGAAGCTACAAAAAACAATGACAACCATGCAGGAAGTGCATTTTAAGTATAGGTTCCATTAAAATCCTGTGCTTTTTGCAGTTTTTGTTGATTTATTTCCTTTTGAAACAATATGATATGGGGTGGGACATAATGAAGGATTGCCTTTTTCCTTTTCTTTTAAAAAATAAATAAATGAATGCCTCACTTCAGCAAGGATGCATTAAATTGATCAAACGTGACCGAAATCTTTGTAGAATTATGTTACTTTGTATTTTCACATTTCAGATAACTGCCTTTTTAAACTTTCTATTCATCAAAGAATCTTGAAAAAAATGCATCACCGTTTCCACAAAAATATTAAGCAGCACAATTGTTTTCAACATTAATAATAAGAAAACTTTCTTGAGCACTAAATCAGCATTTCAGAATGATTTCTGAAGGATCATGTGACACTGAAGACTGGAGTAATGGCTGCTGAAAATTCAGCTTTTCCATCACAGGAATAAATTATATTTTAAAATAAAGTAAAATGGAATTTTTAAAAATGTAATAATATTTCACAATATTACTGTTTTACTGTATTTCTAATTAAATTGATGAGCATTGGTGAGCATAAGAGACTTCTTTCTCTGCAGTGTACTGTTTGCCAAAGCCAAAAACACTTATTTCTGTATGATCCTTCCCTTTTAACACTTTTTATTTATATATGTATGTGTTTATAATGTTTTTTAGGACCACTGCTGAAGGGGACTACATCTTCCTGGCTAAGGATGAGGTATGTCAGACAAAGCCCCACCTGAGTGAAAAAAAGAAAAAAAAATGTTGTTAAATTGTTTGGTAAAGATTCTGCCTATTGCGTCCATATTACAAGTGTGTGTGTGTGTGTGTTCTGTCTCACAGGAGGATCTGAAAGGTTGGGTCAACAGCATCAATGCTAGCCTGAAGGAGATCGAGGAAATTGCCAAGTGGGAGAAAGCCACAAACTCCTCCACCGACCCTGACAAATCAGAGCGCAAGGAGCGCTCTGAAGGGGCGGAGCCATCCGAGGGGGCGGAGAGATCAGAGAGGTCAGAGAAGTCTGAGCGTTCAGACCGATCAGATAAAATAGAAGCATCGGACAAAAGCTCAGAAAAGAGGGACACATCCGAGAAGGAGAATGGAGATAGAGGTGGAAGAGGAGAGAGGGGAGAACGAGGGGAGAGAGAGAGGGGCGAACGAGGAGACCGGGGTTCCAGGGGTTCCAGGGGTTCCAGCACTTCGGGAAAAAGCAAATGACTCATCCTTCTACACCTTTATTTACTCATCCATCACAAAATCTTTCCAGAGATAAGACAGGACTTGCGTTTCTCTGTCTCTGTTGCTCTGTTTGTCCTGACAGCCTGATTTCAGGACAGACGTAATTGTCCCTTGAATGTGTCGATGTGTGTCTGTGTGCGTGTGCCAATGTGTTGAAGAGAACATCTGTGAAAGAATATGAAAAGAACAGTATATGAACTTATCCCAGCATCAGAAGGCCAGTTCAGCCGCCCTGCTTGACTCTCACAGAAAAGGCACTTTAAATTATTGAGGATGACTATAGCCCTCTTAATATTTTAGAAACGTTTTCTCGAAGCAATATACTGTACGTAGTAACCGATGCCGCTTGTTTTAGCTGCTCTGCACTTCCAAGCGAGTGCGAGAGAGAGAAAGTGACAGAGAAGTCTTTCAGAGAGAAATCTGGTGCGGTAGGAGGGACAGTGTTCCTCCTGATCGGCATCCATACACACGAACACGCACAGTGCATCATGGGAAAATGTTTGGTATGGAATACCATTCTCTCACCCGAGGCCGCACAAGTCTTCCACCTGCTGCTTGTAGTAATGGTTTTAATCATGCGAGATGCTTCACAGTACTGTGGTGAGTGTGATTCAGTCCGAATTACACCCGATAAAGAGTCTCGATCACAATATGTGAATTTAATGTGGCAGTGTGTGTGTGTATGTGTGTGTGAATACAGCTCCGTCCAGAAGGAGATCAAATGTACTATGTATAACCTCATTGATCGTATTTATTAGGTTATCATGATACAAATTTAAAGTGCAAGGTTAATCTTCCCAGAACTAAGAGGAAGTACGATCAAACACCCCAGTATGTGTACAAATATGCTGCTTTTTATCATCTCTGCCCCCTTACATCACTCTTTGATTGTAAAATGATTAGTACACATAAAATAGGGTGTCTGTGACTTTGTCATGCTATAAAGAAAAAGACTGTATATATATATATATTTGTATATATACTAGTAAACGAGATTTACTTCTATGAGCTGCAGCGTCTAATTACAAAAAAAAAAATTAATAATTTTTATCAACCTATGAAAATGTAACAAGTTAAACAGAGTTGTTTAAAGTGCCCCTGGCTGAATTTAGACGGTAAATATGTGCGTTAGCCTCCTTTTCCAGGATCCCTTGTATACGGAAATGCAACTTTTACTGTTTACGGTTTGTTTGTTTTGACCAGGGCAAAAGATCAGGATACTTGTAAAAAGAAATCACCATTAAAACCCTCATCAGAGACTGTTTTGTGTTTAATATAAATGTTAAGAAAATGTCTCTTGACAGCTGTTGCAATTCCTGTGACAAAGACAATGATTTTCCCCTTAAAATAGTTCAAATATATGGGTGCAAATTATATTTACACAGATGTGATAAAAATAAAAAGATCAGAATAAACAATAAAAAATAAATAAATTAGTGTTTTTAAGGTGTTTTTTCCACTTATTTGTAATGATGGTCCTAAGGCTTCAATTTAAGCTGTAAATCACTTTGGTGAGGTCAAGCTTCTCCTATCTAGCTCAGACTTGTTCTTCTGACTGGCCTCATTGTCTATGCAACAGCAAATATCAGCATCATACTAAAACCAATTTCTGAAATGGAGATTAAATGGTGTGGAATACAACACTAATTGACAGATTGTTCGTTTTCGTGATACAGACACACTTGACCCCTGATCAGCTCCAGTAAAACATGCAACTTTGATCTGCGATTTAAAAGCTGAGCTGATTGTGTGTGCTTGCTTTCAGAAACAGTGAGTAGCTGTCACATAACACAGAACACATACCTTATGACAACAGAAAACAGTCGCACACCCTGCAGTCAGGCTTAGAGTCAAATCTGCTACTGATTGGATATGTCTTTGATCATTGTCATAGAAACTGCATAACTAGAGACTAAACTTGTTTTGCACTGTGTATCTCGGTGTCTGATAAATGTGATTGAGGGTGAATGAATGTCTGTTACCAAATTGTTGCTGTGTATGTCTCTGTCTAACCTTTGCTGAAGCACCTTCACTCCAAACAACCAGTTTACCAAATCTCCCCTTCCAAAGCATAAAGTAACGGATATGTTATGACTTGTTTTACTTACATTTTTGTCTCTTCTACATATCCAACATTTGTTACAGAGTGACCTTGACTACGGTCTGCCTGCAAAAAGCACAATTTCTCCCTGAACATCAATCTGGAGTATTAGAGAAAAAAAACATGATCCCTGCATTTCTTAAAGCTGCCACATGAGGTTAGTGTTGCAAAGGAATTGCAGTGCTAAAATAATTTTTATTTGAACTCTTCAATTTACCTTTTTTAAACCCAGAAATGTTGACCTACAGGGTCACTACAACCACATATTTGTCTGTGATTTTTAGACCACGTGGTCAGTTTTTGCTTTGCTGAGCCTTGCTTTGTTTCTCTCCAGCTTGACCTCACCAGTAAGTATTTATATTTGAATTCATTATTGAAAGAATGGAGAAAATGGAGTGTGTGGGTTTGCCCTCCTTTATTTGGCATCAGTTGTTTCACACATGAAATTAAAGAAAAACACTATTAAGTTGCATGAAAGAGAATATAGAGGTGATTTCTATGCAACAACTGTGCATGTTTATCAAAAGGGTTTAAATCTTCAGCAAAGCACTGAGTTTGGATGATGATGGAGATGGAGAAATGAGTGGAATGAGCAGATCACTTGTATAGCTGAAATGAGACATTAAATCATTTATGTACTGATATCTGCACTAATTCATAAATACAGATTGTATATATCAGTGTGCTGTGGAGTTTTCATTTTGGTGACTGTTTCCATCTGCAGGTGTGCTTAAATTGTTTACTCAACTACAAAAATTGTACTGTATTTGAACATATTTGGCCATTCACTAATGAATAATTTACAGTCCACTTTTAAAATACCTTAAATAATAATAATAAAAACCCTTCACAGATAACGTCGACGTTTTTAAGAGAAGACATAGGCCTGTATATGTCTCTTCTAAAGAGAGTACGTGTCCAAGTCGCTTTTTTAGAAGATTAATAGCTAACATTTAGCAACAGTGTAACATACCGCCTTCTATTTTAAAATCTCTACTGTCAAGAATTTGGATGGTTTTTATTTTCTTGCTTTAACTGAGGACTTTGGGCTTCTACAGACGTCTAATAGTTTTGTGTTCACTTTGAAGGCTTTCTGAAGTACTTCGGTGTTGTTCGGTTTTGACCGTTGATTAAGGGTTTGAGACGCCCACCTTCCAGAGATTTTAACAGTACAATTGCTCAGACTTAAAAAGTGCACTCAATATTTTTGTATTATTTTCAGAAGACAGTCTGTATTATTTTCATTTTCTCTTTTATTATAAATTTACGAAATGCAAGTTCACCTAAGTTAACAAGCATCAACAAAAGCTGTAAAGTAACTCTACTGCTTTCCTCTCTGGAAAATAAAAAAGGAAATTAAAAGTGAAAAAGCATAAATTAACAAAAGGTAAATGAAAATCAATTCTGAATACATTATTTGCAGGTAAGTCCAGAGTCACAATGCTCCATTGATGAGCAAAAAATAAAGTGAGACATTTCAGTTTATACACCATATTTATTGATTTAATAATGTTTTATATCCCTTTGTCTTCAGGCAGAGGTGCTGAAACCGATATAATTCATCAGTAAACATGACAGCGAAAGAGTGGACAGTTACTTCAAATTATCATTCATAGCACATAAATGATTTGCACACTTATTTGCACACTTAACATTAATCATTTGTCAAAAATATTTGAATAAAAGAGAGTACAAAGAACAAATGAATGACATTTGTCTCTGTATAATACAGAAAATGAAGCATTGCTTTGTTTCTCCCAGCTTGACTTCACCAGCAAGTTTTTATATTTGATTTCATTTATGAAAAAAAACAAGCCGTTATAGATGGAGAGTGTGCCTCCTTTATTTGAATTCAGTTCTTCCACACATAAAATGAAAGAAACACTATGCACAGAAGAGAATAACCAGGTGATTTCTATGCACTTAATAGCTAATAATCATTTGTTAAACAAATTACATTTGTGTCTGTGTAATACAGAAGATGAAACATTGCAGCAAGCAAAGGCAGACAGACTGACAGGCGTGTATTGACCCTCGTCATGTCAGTCTTCTCTGAGAGAAAGATGACCACCAGCTTGAAAAAATATTGTGGTGTATTTCGTCTGTTTCAAATAAGAAAGACTTTTAAGGTGCATTACAGAGCATGAGGACATGCAGCAGAGAAAACAGAAATTATAAATAAGCCTCCAATTTTTTCACATTAAAGCAGAAAATGTGTAATTTACTTGACATAATTTAAATAATATAGACTATATTTAATAAAAAAGTGGATTTGACCTACTTTGACGTGGACATATTTTGACACCTCTTTCACTCCCCTGTAAAGAATAATCACAGCATGAGCACAATGAGCACATGATGAAACCAAGTAAACAGTGAGGTTTTTCAAATGATACATTTTGTCATATTTTGGAGCATCTTGTTAAATACCTGCTTTATTAGCCAGTTCAAAACTTTGTTAGTGGAATCTGAATTCTTCTGACACTTCAGCAATCCTGTATCCTCATAGAACAGATAGTCCACTGTGAGTATGTCTGTCCTGTTGACAGATCTGCTGCTGTCTGGGACCACTTTCTCTGGGTCAAACGTGTGATGAAGCACCACTAGAACAGTTAGCTTAGAACCTGTTTAAGGATATAGACAAATTTAAAAGATAATTTCTTCTGAAATGCTTATACATGTATCACCTTGAGGCAGAGTATTCTGTAAATTAAAAACTTTAAAAATGTAATTAAAAATGTAAAATAGTGTGAAGATGATAATCAAACAACCTGTGGAATAATTGGATTTGTTCAGAGCGTCATCAATGTCAGTTCCAGCTCGAGAAACAATAGGACAGAAAACGAAAATAATGTCACTCTTGTCCACTGTACCAACTTCCCTCAGATTCTCGATTTGGTTTCTCAGCAGGGTGACAAAATCCTTGTGACAGTTATTTGTCTTTCCAGCCAAAATGGAGAACACTTTGACCTCTTCTGGAAAAGGAATTGGGATTGAATAAATAAAACAGGGGAACATACAAATATGATCAGACTAAAATGAATGCAAGATAATAATACAGTTTTAAAAATCAATTTCATTTTCTAGGATGGCGTTACGGAAGATGAGTTATTCTGTTCTATAATAACTCTTGGCAAAGGTCAAAAATGTAGTATGTGTGATTAAACAAGCAGCTATTGTGTGAGATCCTTCATAAGATACAGACCTGTACTAGGTTCATTGTTTCCCATTTTTTGCCTCTTCATCTTCACTTGCTGAGATCGGACTTCATTCTACAGACACACAACTTACAGTGAAATTCAGTCACAGTATCTCGATAAACACTGTATTAGGTGTTTACCAGAGAAATAAAAAAAAAGTTTGACATTTTAAACGGCAATTTAAACACAACAATATAAGATTTACCTTGCACACAGATTGTTCCCATTCTTGATTTTGGATTTGTCCAGGGTTTGTAAAATCTTTTGTGGTTAAATCAGTAGAAATGAACATAAAACAATCAGCAACATATAATTAATGTTACTTAAATTTGATATTTACTGAAGTGACTTTAAACAACTGATCTTGAAACAGCAGTAGGTTTCTAGCAGACAATAAATTCTAGAAAGTGTGAAATATTGCAACGCTGTTTGTCGTCTCTAAATGCACAGCACAGACCTCATCTCCAAATTGTCGTAATTTTCACCACCCCCTTTCTTTCACTCAGAAGAGTGGTGAATTGTCTTCGACAAATGGATGCTCTAGTCTAGATAAATCTTACCTGAATCCCTGTCTAAGATCACTTAAATCAAAAGTAATCACAAAAAAGTTTCTATCATTCTATATGTCCTGCAGTCACTGAAACCTTGATCATGGCTGAGCTGCTCCATCCACTATCTTCATGAGAATATGTATGTTCAAGTGCAGATGAACTTTGGAATATACACAAATTCTTCATTCAAATGTATCCTGACAAACTATAAATGTGACACCCACCACTGTCCGGTGATTTCTGACTTGAACATCCCGGTTGTTGATTGCCCAGATGTAAGATTTGGTTTCCTGGTTTGGTTTCCTGTTCCTCCAGCAAACAGGTACTGGTTTCCATCACTAAGAGATTCGTGCTCTCATGCATATGTCCGCTTGTTTC